CCCTCCTAACCCAAATGGGTCTCCCTAGCTCGCCCTTATAAGAGATCTCGTCCCAACACCCCATACTATGCCGCGCGACCGGGGGGGCGAGGGAGAATTCTAGGAGATGAAGTCCACTCATCTTAAAGTGGCCAAGTTTGGACAACATTGAGTTAGAGTGAGGCCTAAAAATCACAGGCAGAGAGGAAGATTGTGGTTCAGTAGGAAGAAGTTGCACAGTGAAAGGCCAAAGAATTGTAAAATTGGAAGCCAAAATATTTGCCTATCAATTAGCAAAAATACTGCATTAATGATACTTAATAAAGGAGTTTGATGCCCAGAAGAGAAACATTTAAATATAATACACATATGTATATACAAATATAGATACACTTTAGATTTAAATACTAAATTCTGAGTTAGGAGTTGTCTTCTCAAAGACATGGCACAGAATTAAGCTAACTGGCTGATTCAGTTCATCCATTTAAAGTATACAGGTAGTTCTCGCTTAATGACAATAGGGACTGGAAAATTGGTCATTAAGTGGGGCTGTTGTTGAGTGAGTGACTGTGTGACCAGACCCAATTTTATGACCATTTCTACAATGGTTGTTAAGCGAATCATGTGGTCATTAAGTGAATCCCATGGTTAAGCGAATCCAGCTTCTCCAATGGATTTTTTTGCCAGAATTTGCTTAATGACCACATGATTTGCTTAACGACTGTTGTCAAAAAGCTTGCAAATCACAATCACGTGACCACGGGAATGGTGAGATGGGTTGCAAGAGTCATGAGAATACAGTCCATAAAGCACTTTTTCCGAGGCCCTCGTAACTTTGAACCATTGTTAAATGAACGGTTGTTAAGCAAGGACTCCCTGTATTTAAAAAAAAAAAATCAAGCATCTACCTTGAGATGCCTGGTGATTTTTTAAAATATGCTTTAAATGGATGAATATTTGGGGGAGACATAATCAAGACTATAATCCCACGTTTATAGAACAATAGATAATATTAGCAATGAAGCACTGTTGTAGGAAAGGTACTTATAAACATGATTTATTATGATCTGGTGCAGTCTTTTGCAATGACCTGCAGGTTCTATATTGCAGGCAGTGGACCACAGAACTTTTTGTGTTATTTGAGGAAATGTCATCATCTCAGGACTGTTTAGGCCAGTGTTTCTCAACCTTGGCGGCTTTAAGATGTGTAGACTTCAACTCCCAGTGTTGAACTTCCTATGCTGGCTGGAGCATTAAGTCCACACATCTTAAAGCCGCCATGGTTGAGAAACACTGGGTTAAGCATAAGAACAGCTGTGGGGTCCACAGACTCTCTCACTGGGTAACTCATGAGCAGCCAGTCATCTTACCAAATGTGACACTGAGAAGTGGAGCAAACAATTTCCTATTTAAGCTCATGTAGTCAGCTAGTCCGGAGTAATATTCGTAGCGGGGAATCCAGGAGGGCTGCTCAGCCTCATCCTGAGGGATGCAGGGGTAGAACAGGCGGAAGAAGAGGCCCTATGGAAAAGAAGGGTCAAGTTAGCATAAACCCCAACCCATCTTTGGCAGACATCAGCCTTTCTCCCCTCTGGCCCCTTAGAATGGCCTTTCAGAACATGTGTGTGCTCCACCACCTCCTTGATGCCCCTCAAATCCCCTTTTAATGCTTCTGTTTGGTGAATTCTTCGCCCCAGCCCCTCATTTTCCCCTGCCCTACTACAATTCCAATATTTTTGCAGATAAGCAGAGACAGCATTCCCAGATACAGTGTTTTCATTGGAGACAATTACACATGATAAACATAGACTCAGGATAGGACCCTTAGAGGCCCTTGAAGTAATAAATGAAAATCAAAAATTAAGAGAGAAAAATCTGGGCTCAGTTCTAAGGTTTGGACAGCTCAAGGTTCCTGGGGTGTTCCACTTGAGGAAATTCCAATTCTCCAGCTGAGAAGTGCCAGTCTCATTCATTGGATGGCCACGTTTGTTGCTATTGTTCCCATTCTGTTGGCCATTCTGTTGGCTGGGCTCTACACAAAGAGTAGACTGACACACCTTTTCCTCCTTCTGGGAAGCAATAAAGATTTTCCAGCTTCCTGCATTTCCCCACATACATGCCAACAGTTTTTTCTCATCAATTGCAGTGACTCAACTTCACTCCATGATATCATTCATATTTGCCTTCCCCAATGTGATGTGGACTGCAATTCCTGGAATTCTTCAGCTAGCAGAGCCCCAACATATTTCATGGGCACCTGTTTGGGCTGAGAGGAAGGAATTGGCCCAAAGGCCCCCAGAGAGCTTCTGTGGCTGAACGTGGATCTATCCACTCCTAGTCCAGCACCTTCTCCACTATACCATCGAGGCTCTAAGGGCTGAGAGGAAGGGACTGTCCCAAAGCCACAGGGAGCTTCTGTGGCTGAGCAGGGACTGGAACCTGGGTCTCCCCATTCCTAGTCCAATGCTGTTCACACCCCATAGCACAAGTCTTCTTCAAACATTGATTCATCTGTATCTGAGCAGACACACATATCAGTGCTGTATGGGAGACCGGTATACTTGTCTATACAGGTATATGGTGATCATGTGACCGTGGGATGCTGCAATGTCATCATTGCAAGCCGGGGGCTGAGCACCCAGATTGCGATCACATGACTACAGGGACACTGCAACGGCCACAACTACAAGGACCAGTCATAAGTCCTTGCTTAACTTGAACTTACGATGGTGCTGAATGAGTGGTACTTATGATTGGTCCTTGTAGTTGTGGCCCTTGCAGTGTCCCTGTAGTCATGTGATCACGATCTGGGTGCTCAGCCCCTGGCTTGCAATGACGACATTGCAGCATCCCATGGTCACATGATCCCCATTTGTGACCTTCACTGCCAGCTTCTGACAAGCAAAGTCAATAGAGAAGCCAGCAGGAGGTTGCAAATGGTGACCACGTGACATCATACTTAATAATGTTACAGGATTCGCTTAACAAAGGTGGATAACTATGCTTAACCGGAAGTGCCAGAACTGGTGTAATTAAGTGGCACAATCACATTATGTTGTGCTTTACAACTATGTTGCTTAGCAATGGAAATTCCAGTCTCAATTGCTGTTGTTAACCAAGGACTACCTGTAGTCTCCATAACAGATAGTGTGCCAATTTGAGCCAAGGTAAAAAAATCTCCTGTGGAATATGTAAGATGTTATAGAGGTAGCTAGGAATTGTCCATAGGAGCCAGCAATTGCACCATAATAGGGGTGGATGATTTTGGCCCTGTCATTTTCTAGATCTAAATTTCCAAATGTTTAAGTTCAGTTAAGGCTTTATCAAGGCTGAATGACAATCTTGCCAGGGATGAGAGGCCACAATAGGTCAGATCAGAATCAATTTGACTCTCAGGGCCATGGCCAAGAATTCACCATGAACTTTATCTGGAAGATTACTTTTCATGGAATCCATTCTGCAGATAAACTCACTGTATCTCCTAGATGGGGAGGAAAGAGATGGCAAACCATGGAAACATCAAACCCTGTTTCTGTATTTACTTGCATATACCACTCCGTTCTCATACACATGAGAGCCTTAAGCCCATAGATAGAGAACAAGAAGGATGGATGGATGGATGGATGGATGGATGGATGGAGAGAGGGAGAGAGATAGGGTAGGACTTCCTGGGCCAGATTATTTCACCACATCATTCTGGAAGATGGTCAAGATGGAGCACTTCCAGTATTTGGAGGGCATTTGGTAGTTAATCGTCACCACTGCGTCTTTAAGATTGTTATGTTACTCTTGTTGGATTAATAGGATGAAGGCTTCAACAAGTTTGGGTTGTACTTATAATTTCAGTGTTTATTATGGAGGTGGGTTTTGTTGTTGTTTATTCTGACTATATCCTGGATGTTTTAATCTATTGTACTGTGCTGTGAATCCTTAGTTGATTCAGTGGTATAGAAATGTCATAAATAAATACATAAAACCAGCATTTTGAGAGCATGTTGTGAGCCTTCTTAAAAAATGGCACTTGCTTATTTACCAAATGGCTGTCATGATGAGCCTTGGCCAGTCACAAAACATTTGTTTGCCATAAAGCAAAACCACTCCTCACTCACATGTATTCTTATCTTTCTTCCTGCAGGTGTTTGGTACCTCTCACCATTTTTATCTTCTAAGAAAGCCAATGGGCCGTGTGTCCAGGTAGTCCTCGCTTAACAACCACAATAAGGACTGGAAAATTGGTTAAGGAGGGCAGTTGTTGAGTCACCATGTGACCGGACCCGATTTTTCAACCACTCTTATGATGGTCATTAACCGAATCATGTGGTCATTAAGCAAATTCCATGGTCATTAAGTGAATCCAGCTTCTCCAATGGACTTTTTGCCAGAATTCGCTTAATGACTATGTGCTTCACTTAACAACCATGGTGATTCGCTTAATAACTGTTGTACAAAAGATTCCAAATCACGATCACGTTTAGCACTTTTTCTGTCGTAACTTTGAACCATC